TACACACCATACTTTGGGGAAAGAAAGGAAACGTGTGTGTGTTCGTGGAGAATCTGGGAATATTACTTCTTTGGACTACAACTCCCAGAATCCGCCAGGCTCGTTGGATGCTGGAGGCACTCCGGGAGGGGTAGACCAACACATAAAGTTTTAAAGCTCTTCCAGGTCACACAGCTGGCCTAATCCTGCCAGTCATTATGGCCACGGAGTAGAGGATTAGGGGAGATGTAGCCCCCATCCAACCCACCCAACTGACTCAAACTCTTAAAAGTTTTTATGTGTGGGGCCAGGAAGATGGAGTCAGAAAAACGCATTTTAATTCCTGTTTTTCTTTTCCCCAGAAACATCACAATCGCTGATCCAGAATGTGCTCCCTAAGACCTTCTCCTTCCCATACTTTGAAGGATCCTTTCAACCTTTTATCAGATCATCTTATTTTCCAGGTAGGTGCTGGGGTACTTCCCCCTTTCTCTCCTTACTTCCTTTTCCTCGTTTTTTTCATTCTGCCCCCCCGCCCCCCTCTCCTCCCTCATGTTGCACCTCCAGCCTTGCAGGCATAAAAAATAGGGTTCTGCTTCTCAACAGAATCAGGAGGTGCGGGAGGGGAGGGGGAATGGTCCTCGTCTTCAGTTCAGAGGTTGGATGGGGTACAACATTCAAGAATCAGTCGCGCCAATTTGATGCCCTATTTAGCACAAGCCAGGAGTGCTTGCCTTTTCCCTTCTCCGTTCTTCCCTCCCCCACCCAAGACACATGCATCCCGTCCCTTCCTTGCACTGCAAATTCAATGCTTTCTCCCACCTCCTCTGCTCTACAAATTGGCCGGGATTGTTATGGTCCAAATGTGAGGCAGTTCCTTCCTGACATAAAGAGAGATGCAGCTGGCCTCCTCCTCCTCCTCTTCTTCGAGGGCAGTGGCTTTCCCACAGAGTCACCGTGGTCTTTCCCTGGAGTGCCAACAAAAGTTTCAGCACCATGACCAATTTGGTCAGCTCCCTCCCGGTAGCCACACACACACCCCGCGCTGGCTTGGCTGTACTGCTGATAGACACTTACCAGCCATGGGCTAATTTCCTATTAAGGGTCATTCGCTCTGCCGGCGTTTTCACAAGACCACATGGAGTGTTCTCTTGTTTGGGAACTTCAGTGTGGCCAAGCCAAGCAGCCCCCTTTTCCCTCCAAATCTTTCATTTTTAGAAAGATGCATATATCAGTTTCAGAGAGGACTTGGAAAGAGGTGGGTTTGTGGCAAACAAGTCTGGATAGAGTCGTGCCTTCTCACCCCAACTGGTCATCCATTTGTCCTGCTGTTTAAAAGTACTATAACACAACACACACTGCGTAATATTAAAACACAACATATTCGTCTGGAAATACCGTACTTCCAGTTGCCCTACTGCTTGTACCAAGTGAGAGTAGATCTGACTGGTAAGGAGATCATTAAGATTAAACCATTAAGTAAGATCCTTTCCTCCCTCTCCTACCCAGTTTTCTAATGAAATGGGGATATGAAAGACATAGGACTTCATACCTGAATTATGTTTATCCTAAGTTTTTCCTTAATCAAGATATATTACAAGACTGTTTGGGTGTGTACTTTTAAAATGTTCAGAGTGCTCATATACAGAAAAGGAGGGATATTGGATAGCTGTGATAGGCTTCACACTGTGTTGTAAACCTCTGCTGTTGTTAAATGGATCTTAAAATTGTTAAGAAGAGTACATTCCAGATAATGGAATATTACATCTTAGTTTTGGAGATGAGGATAAAGTTACAGTTAGGAGGAACAACTTTCAAAAATATCACCTCACCAAGAGGCTCCAGAAGCCAAGCGCTCCTCCATTCATTCTCTTGATAAAGGAATTTGCTTCCTTTCTCTGGCATTTCAATGGCCCAACAAAAACAACTTGAGCCTTATATATAGCTTTTCATGTCCATTTAATGAAAATGATTTGGGGAAAGAGAAGGCTGTGTCATCAGTATTCTCTCCAAGGAGCTTGGCATGCAGTTGTGTTTAGTTTGAAAGTGTAAATCTCTTTTGTTCCAATAATATATGGCTTTAGCTGCTTGTCCTCAGTCTTTTTCTGTTAGTTCATTACTACACAATTACCATTCACGCTTCATTAGAATCTCTGTTTCTCTTTGGGAGTTTTTCTTTCCGCTTAAAGGCGAAACTCTGCCCTTTTTATCATACCAATCCCTGTTGGGAACCAGTCAATGTGCTAATTAGCTGTTACTTTTCATGTCTTCAGAGTGAATTCTGCAAGTTTTGTAAGGAAGGAGGAGGAGGGGGAAGAAAAATTCATATATTAAAAAGATGAATGCTGACTGATCAAAACTTGCATCTGAAAGAGGACCTTTTTTGTTCCAGACAGAAAAGTCCCTTATTTTAATCAGGAATATAAGAAAGTGAGCATGAAAATCTTGGGGAAAAAAATAAATAACTTGTAGAAGGGAGAGCTTAAAGAAAACAGCACCAATTCTATCTTTCTGGCTTTTTCTTTTCAAGTTCCTGCTCTTTCACTTCATAACAAAACAGAGTAGCTATAAATATATTCATTTGATGTGTATAATCTAGTTATCATTTTTTGAAAAGAACAGCCAAGTTAAGCGTAAACGCCTTTTCATGAATTAAAAGTTTTATAGGTGGTGGTCTGCTGGACTCAGATAACGGTACAGAAAGAAAAGAGAGGAGAATGGGAGAGAAAGAAGAAGAAGAAGAAGAAAAATCTAAGCTAATGGCAAAACCTGCAGGCCTGCAAATCAAAGGCAGATTTGCAATTGATGGCAATAGGATATGGATGCCGTCTTTTGGAACCTGAAAGCTCTTGCTGCCAAGACTTCCCCCCCCCACATCCTGTTACAGCTGATCATGTTTATTCTTCCTCTTTCCCACAGCTTCTTCAGTGGTTCCTATTCCGGGCACATTCTCTTGGCCTCTGGCTGCCCGAGGGAAACCACGCCGGGGAATGCTCCGCAGGGCAGTCTTCTCAGACGTGCAGCGCAAAGCGCTGGAGAAAATGTTTCAGAAGCAGAAATACATCAGCAAACCGGACAGAAAGAAGCTGGCAGCCAAGCTAGGCCTGAAAGACTCCCAGGTAATCGCCATCCTACACAATGTTGGGGAATATGAAATGGAGTTTGGGGAGGATGGGTCAGAGAAAATGGGACATTTGACTTTTCTTTCCTAGATGCAACAAAGGTATCTTCAGTGTTTCCTAAATGGACCTTTGTCCTCAGCTTAGTTAAATCAGTACACTTCAGGTTAAAGACAAGCCTCTAAACAGCTTGGGTCTAAAAGACCGCATCTCCCCTATGAGCCTTCCCAGGTTTTAAGATAAGCAGAGGAGGCCTTTCTCTTGGTCCCAACACCCACACAGACGTGTTTGGGTGGGTACACAGGATCTCTGGAATTCTCTCCCACGGGAAGCCAGGCTGGCCCCATCTTTGCCGTCCTTCTACAAACAGGCAAAGACCTTTCTCTTCAGGCAGGCTTGTCTTTAGTGACTAGCTATCTGAACAGATTGTTGTGTTCTGTTGCTTTTGTGTGTGTTCTTAGTATTGATTTTAATTATCATTTTAAATACAATGCTTGTTTAATTTTTTTTTTTAAATGTTTGTATACTTACTGTTAATACATCCTTTTAACGATGTAAGCCGCCTTGGGTCATTTTAAGGAGGAAGATGGGGTAAAAATATTTCAAATAAAATAAAAATGTGTTATAATTAATATAAATGATACTAAATCCCTTACTAAAAGTAGTAGAGTTGGCATCCACATTCTGATACTGTTTTGTAGAAAACAAGGCCTGTTCATTTCACTGGAATATATTTCCAAATAAAAACATCATCCTGCACACACTGAACTTACCAGCACTCACTTCCAAGATAAAGTGGTCAAGAAGAACATTTTTGTGCCTTTCTCTCCTTTAAAAAAAATTAATGGAACCTGTGTCTTAACATTAGGGAATAGGCTAAGAGCAGCCCTTGGAAAAATTAGGTTTTTTGGACAATATTTAGAATTGTAAAGTCAATGTGACATTTTCCAAGTCTTGCTGCAGATCCAGTTCTTAGCAACCAACGTCCATCTGGCATCCGGTTTTGTGACATGTGGTCCTCATGGCAAATGCTTTCTTTTAGGTGTTCATCTTTTGTGGACTTCACCATCAAGAGCATATGCATTGGTGCCCAGGGAGCCGCCTAGAGTGGTCGTATTGCCCAGATAGGCGGGGTATAAATAGAATGAATCAATAAATCAATAAATCTATTGTACCATTGTGAAAATCTCATAAATATAGGTGTGTGGTGAAAGCCATCTGCTAAACAACTGTGTAAGTCCAGGTAGTCACTGCAGTTTTCAGATAGTGGGATTCAAAGTCGTAGCTGCACAGTCTGTGGGTCCTAAATTGGCCTTCAGCATCACAAGAATTTATGAATTAGTTCCCCATGAAATTAGTGATTTATGTCGATGCAAAGGAACATCTCTGTACACATCAAGTCTTTTCGCTGTCAAGAGCAAAACATGCATAGGTGCACAGGGAGCTGTCCTATACTGAGCCAGCCATAGTCCATCTAGCTCAGTATTGTCAACACTGACTAGTAGCAAGAGCTCTCCAGTGTTACAGTGTGGAATTTCTCTAGCATTATCTCGAGATGCTGGGGAATGAACCTGAACCCTTTGGCATGCAAGGTATGTGCTTTGTCCCTGTGATATGCAGTAGCTGGTTCCCTAATATGCACACATATATATATATTAGGTTCCCTAATATGCACACACGCAGATACACACACACACACACACACATACATCCCCCTTGTAGATCAAGTGCGAACATGGATATGAGGTTATTTTTTCGGTGGAAGCAAAGACCCTGGCTCAGCATAAGTGACTTGTTTGTCAGGCCACACAGGTGCAACCCACAGGCTACAACTTTTAATCCTATTTGGAACCTGCTCAATGTGACAAAGCAAAGTAAAGAGTGCTGCTTATATACCACCCCATAGTGCTTAAAGCCATCACTGGGTGGTTAACAGTTTAATTTTGCAGGCTACCTATTCCCCACCCACTCCACTCAGTTAACCAACCTCAGAAGGCTGGAAGGCTGAGAGAACCTTGAGCTGGCCACCTGGGACTGAACCCCAAGTTGTGAGCAGAGTTTTGAGTGCAGTACTGCAGTTTAGCCACTACACCACAAGACTCCTGATAACTCTATCTTTTACAATCCTCTTTATTTTAACAAGATCTAAGCATGATGTATGTTGGAGGCCACAGAGAGTTTGAAATGAGTGTCTTAATCTCATTCAGTCATGTTTACATATTTTTAAAATGTTAAAGCATTTATGTCCTGCCTTCTGATGCAAAAGCATCATTCAGGGTGGTTTATGTCCTGCAATGTAGTTTATCTCTCCCAATTTCTCATTTTATTTTTTTAAAAATTATTTAAAATATTTTTATCCCATCTTTCTCTGTAAAAAGAATCCAAGGCAGCTTTAGAACGCTTACACTTGCTGCCTTCAAACCAGTTGAGTAAACTTGGAAATCTCTAACAGATTTCTGCAAGTCTTCATTTGTGGCTTTATCCTAAATGCATATTTTTATTTCAAGTCACTGTGCCACCTGCTTCCTTGGATGCATGGAAGAATGCATGCATATGATGTTGGGATACAGTTCATGAAAATGTAGGGCAGATAACAAATAAACCCAATTGCTAATCTTGTCTAGAAAAGTCCCATTGAACTGGTGGGATATAGACTAGTGTTGATCTTTTGATTCAACAGATTTACTCTAGCTGGGAAGAGCAATTCTTTTCAGGCCTTAGTTTTTAAGGGGCTGCAAGAGTCTTCGTCTGTCAAAACAGAAACAGCCAACACAACTGTCCCATCTTTGATATGTGTTAATGTGAAGATTAACACCACTTCTAATACACAATGTCAGTGGTTTCACAGCCAGCATATCCCCAGATGTTGTTAGTCCTAATTCCCAGATGTTGCAGCCGTCAATGGCTCATTATGAAGGATTCTGGGACTTGTAGTCCAGCAATATCAGGGGATCTGCAGGTTGAAAACCAGTGTGTAATGAGCTTTGAGAAGTCATGGGATGTGGTTCTGCCCTGAGTGGGTACTTCTAGGTTAATGTCGGTCATTAACCTACTTCAGCCTTGATCAATCTTTTTGATTCCTTTTTAAAAAAAATCTAGGTCAAAATCTGGTTCCAGAACAGAAGGATGAAGTGGAGGAACTCCAAAGAAAGAGAGCTCCTGTCATCTGGTGGATGCCGGGAACAAACTTTACCCACCAAGTTCAACCCTCACCCTGATCTCAGTGATGTCGGCAAGAAGGGCTCTGGAGAAGAGGACGAGGAAGCGAGCTCCCCGCTCTGCCCAGCCAACCCCAGGCATCCTTTAAACTATCATCAGGCTCTCGAACACCCACACCTGAGGGACAGGTTGGACTCCCAGATGCTCCCTTCTCCCACCCATTCCAGCAGTCCCAGCAAACCTTCAGACTTCTCAGATTCAGAGGAAGAGGAGGAGGAGGGTGAGGAAGATGAAGAAGAGATCACTGTCTCATAGAGATGTTTCTTCTTGCCATCACACAAAAAGGAGGACATTGCAAAGATGTAAATAAAATTAAGGGCTATCTAATTGAAGAGAGGTGTCCTTCCACATTCACATGGCTCACACAGAACATGTACTGATGATCACTTGTCCACACGGCTTCTATATGCCGCATGCTTACCCTAATTCAGAAGCCTTGCCTTGTCATCTCCTTTTGTGGTTGTTGACCAACCAGCTAGTCAAGCACTTTTGAACTGGAGCATACAGATTGAAACCCCCCTTAAAAAAAAAAAAAAACAATCCTATTATTAAATCCACAGTAATTTAGAAGTAGAATAACTAGGCCTATTCAACTTTGATTAACCCACAGCAATGCCAGACATAATAATTTCTCTGAATGACTTGGGTGATCAACTGTATGTTGCCAAAAACCCTACTTGGATGAGATGCTGAAGCTACGTCCACAAAATCTGTGTGCTTGTCAATAACCTGAGCCCCATCAGTCACATGAAGCACCCTTAAAAGTAATGCAGGACATAATATTCCTAGTGTAAAAGAATGGGAATTTATAGCTCATAATGTGTTTGCTAGGTGTGGGCATAATGTACTCAAACTGGGGCCCCAGTATCTTGTGACCATCCACTCACCCACCAAAAAACTGTCTTTGCCTTGACTGCTTAATGTGTATTTATGAATTACGCAGACATCATACGCTTTGTTTCACAAACAACATTTTTGTTTGTCCCCAGCTCTTTTGCCATCTTTTTGGCTACTGACAGGGTCATTGAGGACATTAGGAAAGTGGACTCTCCTCTTTGATTTTTGAATGAACTTTGCTGTCTTTGTGCAGCTTATATAAACTGTACACTATTTTGTACACTTACACTGTATGGCTATTTTATACCAAGGCTATTGTGAGTATATAGATGGACAAAATACTTTGGTTGAGATTTTATGTGTGTATATGTTTATGGCTTGGTGTGCTTTTCATTTTGTTTGTGTTTTTCCCACTCAAAGAGAAGCTTAGCTTTTAATGGTGTAACTTATAAAACATTGTCTATTTTATACTCTTACTGTGTACAGATTTTAAATATGTATATATAACAAATGAAGCAGATGCCAAATTAAAAACAAAGTGTGTGATACTATGAATGTTTATTGACTTTGCATGTTCATTTTGTGCATTCGTGCCATGTGTTAATTATCATAGTCTGGTAAAAGTGAAGAACTTGCTCTAAGGTGATTTGGACAGTGATGCCACATATTATTTTTTGAAAGCAACTTCTGTGAAAATCTGCCCAGCTTAAAAGTCCTCAATTTTGTCAAAGCCCTGCAAAGGTACGCTACTTCATTTCCTATAAGATGTATGTGCATCATGTGTCAAGCAGAGTACAGAGGCACGGTGGAGGGAAATGTTTTGAGATTCACAACACAATATACACATGGCCCTTTAAGTCCCTACCAGGTCAGTAAAGCTGTAAAGCCTTTAGGGGTTTAAAAGGACCTAGCACTGACAACTTCCCCTGTTGCTTATGATAATCAATACAGCCTGCAGATGGAGCCTCACCAAATCTCTTACTTTTTCTGTATTCCCAGTTTATGTAGATGCTGTTTCGTAGATCTCTGGCTGACTTGCAATAGATTGACAGTGGTTTCTTACTGTGATTCCCAAAAAGGGTAGCCGCAGATCTTGTAAGGTGGAAGAAGTGCTCTTCGGATACCATTGTCTTGAGGAGGGAACCCTTGAGTCCTATAAGCCTTCCTGCAATCAGAGTTGACAGGCAGTGGCCCCATGATAGATACAACTGCTTGTTCTATGAATAATATACTCAGGAGGGGTTCTTTATCTCTTGTTTTCCCTCCCCCTCCCCGCTAACAGGACCACAATCGTTGTACCACCTTGTATAGCTTGCACAATGTACACAATTGTGTATATGAATGTGTTTAAATGGCTTGTGCAAAAGGGTAAAGAAACACATAACTTGCAACCGAGACTCACATTATTTCTAAATACTTTCTCTCTCTCTCTCTCTCTCTCTCTCTCTCTCTCTCTCTCTCTGTGTGTGTGTGTGTCTTTTAAGATAGCTTTCAGGCTAGCCCATGGCTACACAGCCACTTTTGTTGGAAAGAATAAAGAAAGAAAATTATGCATAGAGGAATGATCAGTTTGGTCTAACACAGTAACAATGGGGAAACTGAAGAGAGAGCAAAACTGAGGTGCCTGTGTCATGTGCTTAATGGCTGTGATGTCAGTGGACATGGCCCTGTCCTCCATCCCACATGTGGCATCTTACTATTTCTGGTTGGCAGTGTGCAGATAAAGCCTGTTAACTCAAAATTGGCCCTCCCAGCACCATGATACAGTGGTGCCTCGCTAGACGATGATCATCCATTCCACTGTTTAGCGAAATCATTGTCTAGCAAAAAGCATTTCCCCATTGGAATGCATTGAAACCTGTTTAATGCGTTCCAATGGGGAAGAATCGTCGTTGTCTAGCAAAGATCGACCATAGGAAAGCCGCTTTGCGAACCGCCGATCAGCTGTTTAAATAGCTGTCTTGCAAAGCTTAGATCTCGAAAACACCCGTTTTGCGAGTGCGGAGGGAGCTGTCAAAATCGTCTAGTGAAAATTGGTTTGCGAAGCAGGAACCAAACATTGTCCAGAGAAATTCTCCCATAGGAATCACTGTTTTGCGAATCGCTATAGCGATCGCAAAAAGGCAGTGTCTAGCGAAAAAACTGTCATGCGGGTTAACTGTCTAGCGAGGCACCACTGTACTAGAATAGTATGTGTGAACTTTTCTCACCAGTAGTAGAAGCATTCCCACACCGTTTATTCTTTTCATCCGCCTTTGATCAAGTGTCATAGCTTGGTTTATTTTGTTTGTTTTAATGGCCCTCTACCTTGGAAATGGGCTACTTGTGGCTTTTTATTGAGGGACAAGTATAGGAAATGGCAACACTGGCTTGTCACTCCTCTGGAGTACATAACCATGACCACCTTTTTGATAAGGCTCTACATAGGTTCTTATTGCAGGGCAATAAGAAGTGGCAACAGCCTTGGTCATCAGTGACATGTTTAAAAGTAGGCCACATGGCACCATGTGTTGAGGTTGTTCTGTGTAGAAATAGATGGTCACCAAAAATTGGTCTTTTTCACAATCTTATTGAAAGACTGTGTGACTCGCACCTAATAATGTGGCAGATAATGCCATGATGGGTTTGGAGATGGTTGGGATGATCTTTTGGTGGTCCCTTATAAATCAAGGGTCCCTGCAAAAACATGCAGAAATTCTGCCAGCCCTTCGACTCTTGAGTCTATGATTTGGCAAAGCTAAGCCTCTTAAAATTCTGTCACTAGACCACAGATGGCTGCCAATCTTCTGATTATGTCCCCCCCCCCCAAGTAGGAGCTGATGTGGCAAAAAGGCAGAAATGACACATCTTTCTTGCCTTCCAAAGAATTCCAGGAAGATGGGGGAAGGGGTGATTACTTTGGAAACTATCACAACCCTAACCCTTTCAGGGCAGGTTCTACTACCAGAGTAGGATGGTTCTGTAGAACCAAAGTGGGAAGACATGGAAAAGTGTCTGGGGGAAATATCTTTCCATCTAGCCTTCATTAACTCTTTTGTTTAGTTCTTACCTAAAATTTAATGCTTCATTTTATGTATACCGTTGTTTGTTTAATTTCTTTGTATGTGACATTTAAATCCAGGCATTTTCCCAATGAGCTTAAAATTGCATATGACTTAGGCAAAACAAACGGGGTTTTTGGCAACATACAGTAGAATTACATAGAAGCAGTATGGTGCAGTAGCTGGAGCATTTAGCTAATAGACCTGGATTAAAGTCAGTAGGTGTTCCACAAAGATGTTCAGGGAATAAAGTAGGGAACAGGTTGAGAGACAACCTAGCTTCCTGAGGGGAACATTCTGTAACCTGGGAGCAACCAAGGGAAAAGCCACATTTTGCATTACCACCAAACATGCCTCTGAAGACAGCAGGGCTAGGAGAAGGGCCTCATCTGAAAAACTTAAGAGCCAGGCTGGCTTGTATGGGAAGATGTGATTTGATGATTTCAGTCCCTACCTATTCATTATTATTTTTGAATTATGTGCATTTAGCTAGTGGGGTTCCTGAATGAGACAGATAATCTAAATTTGTTTTGATTTGGTTTCAGACCTGGTCATGGGACGGAGACTGCTTTGGTTGCCTTGGTGATGACCTATGCCGGGAATTAGACAGGAGGAGTGTGTTGGTTCTGCTGGTCCTCTCAGTGGCTTTCAATACTATCAACCTTGGTATCCTTCTGGCTTGTCTCTCTGGAATGGGACGTGGAGGCACTGTTTTATGGTGGCTCCAGTCATTCCTGGATAAAACTCAAGAGGGTGGTGCTGAGGAACTCCTGTTCGGCACCCTGGCCCTTCTGTTTTGTCTCCTATGCTATTTAATATCAATATGAAACTGTTGGAAGTTGTTGTCCAGAGTTTTGGGGCTTCAGTGTCACTAGTATGCAGTGACACCCAACTCTATCTCTCCTTCCCATCTAAATCTGAGGAAGCTGTTTCAGTTCTGTATCACTGTCTGGTGTCAGAAATGGACTGGATCAAGGTGACTAAACTGAAACTTAATCTAAATAAGACAGAGGTGGTTCTGGTCAGTCAAAAGTCAGGTCAAGGATTCAACCTGTGCTGGATGGGGTTATGCTCCCTCTATGCTCCTGGATTCATCTCTGATTCTGGAGGCCCATGTTTTTGGATGCCCAGGAGTGCCTTTGTAGAGTTAAAACTAGTGTGCCAGCTGCATCCGTTCCCTGAGAGGTCTGATTTGGCTGCAACGACACATACCTTATATACAGCTTGGTTAGATTACGTAACATGCTTTACATCAGGCTATCTTTGGAAAGTGGTTTGAAAACTCCAGTAGGTCCAAAGTGCTGCAGCCAGATTGTTAACTGGGGCTGGTTACTGGAAACATATAACTCCCCTGTTATAGCAGCTGTTGCAGCTGATCTATTTCCAGGAACAATTCAAAGTGCTGGTTTAACTTATGAAGCCCTAAAGGGTTTGGGTTCATTTGTGAGCCCTTTATGAGCCTTCCCAAATACAGTGGTGCCTCTCAAGACAATATTAATTCATTCTGTGAAAATCACTGTCTTGCGAAAACATTGTCTTGCAAAACACGGTTCCCCATTGGAATGCATTGAAATCTATTTAATGTTTTCCTATTGGGGGGGGAACTGTCTTGCAAAGCATCAGTCTAAAAAA